TGATTTGGAGAGAGCCAACAGATCATGTTAGTAATTGTTACTTTTGTATGGTGCCTCCAACAAAAGGGCTAAATAAGAAGAAAAAGTTATCTGTGCACTATCCAAATATTCCATCGGCAATACGTCCAGTTCCTCATGGAGAGGGGCTACCAATTCCTAAAGCACCAGAATCCTTCGTGGTTGAGTCAAGTGAGGAAGAACCTGAAGCGTGTAGTCATCAACCATCAACCTCACATGACCCAGACTTTCTTCCATCCACACCCACTGAACCACACCTCATTACACAAGTGGAATTGAGCGATCTTATCAGAGACCTGGATCTTCCGAAGAACAAGGCAGAGCTTTTGGGGTCAAGACTACAACAGTGGAATCTCCTAGCAAGTGATGTTCGTACGTCTTTCTACCGTCATCGTCAGAAAGATCTGATCCCATTCTTCGTCCAGGAAGGTGATATTGCTGTATGTAACAATGTTCATGGTTTAATCTCAGCCATCGGCGTATGCTATGATCCCGATGAGTGGAGGCTGTTCATTGATGCTTCAAAGGCGAGTCTTAAAGCTGTTTTGCTCCATAATGGCAATCAGCTGCCGTCAGTTCCAGTTGCTTATGCAGTTTCAATGAAAGAAACGTATGAAAACTTGAAAGAGCTTTTAAGGTGCATCAACTATGATGAACATCAATGGTCGATTTGTGGTGACCTGAAGGTGATTGCTATCCTACTTGGACTTCAAGGTGGATATACTAAGTACTGCTGCTTCCTCTGTGAGTGGGACAGTCGTGCGAGAGAAATGCACTATGCCAAAAGAGACTGGCCATTACGCCAGTCATTGCAGCCTGGAGAAAAAAATGTTAACTATCCAGCACTTGTAGACAGCAATAAGATCTTATTACCTCCATTACACATCAAGTTGGGATTAATGAAAAACTTTGTTAAGGCAATGGACAAGAATAAAGCAGGTTTCAAGTACCTGATTAGCAAATTTCCAGCACTTAGTGCTGCAAAAGTAAATGAAGGAGTCTTTGTTGGGCCACAGATTCGTAAACTTATTCATGATGATGAGTTTCTTTCTCTGTTGCGTGGAAAGGAAAAGGCTGCCTGGACAGCATTTGTATCAGTGACATCAAATTTTCTTGGAAACAATAAAACACCAGACTACAAGAAAGTGGTAGAAAAACTCATCCAGACTTACAGAAATCTGGGTTGCAACATGTCTCTAAAAATTCATTTTCTACATTCGCATCTGGATTTTTTCCCACCAAACTGTGGAGCAGTGAGTGATGAACACGGAGAGCGCTTCCATCAAGACATTGCAGCTATGGAAAGAAGATATCAAGGTAAATGGAGCCCATCAATGCTTGCTGACTATTGGGCTGGACAGTTGTAAGAGATAGCCCTTTCCTCGAATACAAGAGAAAAGCCAAGAGAAGCAAAACCGACACAAACTGAAGACAAAACTAGTGAGAATCCTTAGTATTAAAATGATTCAACTTAGCTTATGACTATAATTTTTCTTGGTAATCCTATGCAATATATTATGCCATTTAGGCTTTGTTATGTAGTCAATATCACTTGCTTTATATTTGTGGAAAGACATCTATCTATATAATTATTGTGCATTATGTAGTCATTAAGCCTATAGTAGAAAACTTTCCGTTAACAGAAAAACTAGAGCCAATTGACAAATTTCATTGTTATATTTGAACTCAGAATGTGAAATTCATTAAGAAATGGATCCTTTTGTTTCCAAAACTGGCAAAAAATAAAAATTTGTTGAACAGTGTTATTTGTTACAGGTGCTTATATATAGCGCTGTCAATTTACGCATCACTTTACATATATATAGTACATTCATATCAGTCCCTAACCCTAAAGGAGCGTACAATCTAAGGTCCCTAACTGTCATTTATACACACACTAGGGCCAATTTAGACAGGTGTCGATTAACCTACCAGCATGTCTTTGGAGTGTGGGATGAATCCAGAGTACCTGGAGGAAACCCATGCAAGCACAAGGAGAACATGCAAACTCCAGGGAGGTCTTACTGTGGTGAGACCTTCAAATAGCTACAGCTCAGCAATACAGCCTTAATGTGTGACTAAATCCACAGATTTAAAGTGTTACTAAACCCAGGACTCTGCATTCACTATATCTGGTCTCCCTGGACCCTGCATTCACTATATCTGGTCTCCCTGGACCCTGCATTCACTATATCTGGTCTCCCACAGTACACAGAACATGGAAATGCAATTATTTTAGTAAATATAAACTGCTAAATACATTTTCTCATCAGCAGTTAAAGCAGACTTGTGACTTCTATCAGTGTCCAGTCGATGTTAAAGCTTGTAGGAGGAGTGTTTTCATTCTGCTCCAGGCGGATGCAGGACCCCTAACCTCTTTCTGGACAGTGCTGATTGGCCCTGTGCTGATCGCATGCACTCTCCCAGGAAAAAAACAACTCCTCTGTAGCAATACACACCAAACTGAGCATGTGCAGAGTGACTCCACATGATATGTTTTATCAGGAGATGAGGGGGGGATAATGGAAGAAGGGAGGATCAAAGAAGTCAGGCTCAAACATTGTTTTTACACAATGCAGAGGATTAACCCCTTAGCTTCCACAGTGAGTATAACAAGCATGCTTTACTGCATGTACAGACTGATTTTACTGTTGTGGGTTTAGTAACACTTTAATTATTTCCCCAAGCAGTTACACTTTAGGCATGTCATGAATGATGGCTATTACAGTGTAACGGGAGTCACTTTGGGTGCGGGGCCTATGGAGCCCTGCTCACTTGGGAGAGGTGGGGAGACCCCTGTCTCAGCTCCCCATATCCCTCCTATGTGTAAATCACCCTGTGCCTGTTAGGGGTACAGGGTGATGTGTCCTAATATTGGGGTGGGGGGTTGTTGATTGTTTGCTGTCATGTGGCTGCATCCCATTGTTCTATTGTTTGTCTGGCTTGAGAGCAAACTATTATGGGATGTGTGTGTTTGTGTATTAGCTTGGGGGGGGGGGGTCTCTCAGCAGCCCTCCCTCCTGACGGGACTGTCTGCTGGTGTGAAGTTTGAATACCTGTGTGTTTCTTGTTACTAAATGTAGATTGCCCCGCCCTGTGACATTCTGCACAGAGTAGGGATTGTCCCCTGAGTATATATATCTTGTATCTGTGTTCAAATAAACTAGTCTACCTCCTGGTTTACTTTAAGACTGGTGTCGTCTAGTCTTGTATATTTGGCTGTTTTGTCTGTTGTCAGTGTTCGGATGGGGAAGCGGTATTCTAACGGAAGTACTCAAGCGCAGTCTGGGTCGGTTCCATTGCATACAGTTCCTAGTGTGCTCTATGTTGGTTGTCAAGCCATCAAATGGCTGGTGTCATAGCTGATCACATGTGCAACACCCTATCAAATGCAGATCAAACAGAGGCTGACTGTAAGGAATAAGAGGATTTAGTTCCACTTTAAGTGTGCTGTCCCAGCCTGTGATTGCACAATGTAGGAGATCTTATCTATCCTTTGCTCAGGAATCTTCCAGTGTTGGATGAACAGGATTGCTCAATGTAGTTGCCTGCCTGGCTTGAGGTGTTGCCTCTCCCTCCTGAATAGGTGACCTGTTGTGCAGGGAATTCACGGGAGATTTACATGCTTTTACCAGCTCTAGATAAAAGTATAATAATTCTTTATTTTTTTTTTAAATTGCTTTAGGCCAAGTGAGATTGGCTTTTATACTCTTTTAACCCTTTTGACACCATGATGTTGATTTACTAAAACTGGGGGGTGCAAAATGTGGTGCAGCTCTACATGATAGCCAGTCAACTTCTAACTTTAGCTTGTTCAATTCATCTTTGACAAAGAAATAAAAAAAAAAAACAAAAACCCCTGGAAGTGGATTGGTTTCTATGCACAGCTGCACCAGATTTTGCATTCACCGGTTTTAGTAAATCAACCCCCTGTGTGGTGGGTTGCAAAGCCCTCTAAATGCTTACACAAGTGCAAGCTCTTATCTCATATCTCATTCAGCACTCTTTCTAAAATAGCTTTAAACCAAGAAACTGTACACTTTGACAGATAAAATGAAAAATGAGCATCTTCATGGAATTTCTACATCATTAACTGGGGGGGGGGGGATTATTCTAAGAGAGAGTTGTTTTTAACAAATAGACTCACATTTTGCACCACATTTGTCTCCCACATCTAAAATGCTGATTGCAGTGCTGGATATCAAACTTTTGCAATGATTACCTTTACAGAAAGTGTGGGGGAGATGAGTCTGGATCCACGAAGCAGTTTGTGAAACTTTTATTTCTGGAATGATTTTACAGTGTTAATATTGGAAACATTGGCTTTATAGTTCCAAACAATCCAGCCCTCATGTAGATTAGAATGTGTTTATAAAGCGGTCCCAGCCAACTGGTGATCTTCCAGGTTTTTAGGATCTACAGATACAGCAATTCTTTGCTTTGCAGATGATCTATGAATCCCACAGTGCTTTGCTTTTCCAGAACAAATGTCTGGGATTAAATGGAATCCATCACAAAGTTCTGTGACACCTTGATGGAAGCAGCCAGACCAGGGGCGGACTGACCATTCGAGCACTCGGGCACTGCCCGAGGGCCCGGGGTCAGTAGGGGGCCCCATGAAATGCCCCTGGTACCTTTTTTTTTTTTTTATAGGCTTTTTTGAGTGTGGGCAAGGACACAGGGGCCCCATGATCCCCTATTGCCTGGGGGCCCCATGAGTTGTCAGTCCGCCCCTGAGCCAGACTTAAAGTTCTTTTGTAGTAATTCAGTGAATTGGTTCAGTTTTGCTGCCCAAGGATTAAAATGCAGAATCAGAAGTTACTACTTCAGCAACACCTAAATAAACGTGATCTACAATTATAACTGCTATCATAAAGTGTTACTAAACCCACAACAGTAAAATCGGTCTGTAGATGCAGTAAAGCATGTTTGTTATACTCACTGTGGAACCTAAGGGGTTAATCTGCATTTTGTAAAAAGGCTGTTTGGTCCTGTTTTCTCTGCCCCTCCTCTTGTTCAAATGTCCTCTGATAAGACAGGCTGAACCCGTAGTCACTTGCACATGCTCAGTTTGGTGTGTATTGCCAGAGAGGTTTTTTTTTTTTTTGGGGGGGGGGGGGGGGGGGAGAGTGCATGTGATCAGCACAGGACCAATCAGCACTGTCCAGACACAGCTCAGGGGTTTTGCATCCTCCTAGAGCAGAAAGAAAAATCCTCTTACAAGCTTTAACTGGTGCTCTGTTGGACACTGACAGAAGTCACAAGACTGCTCTAACTGCTGATGAGAAAAGGTATTTAGCAGTTTATATTTACTAAAATAATTGCACTTCCATGTTCTGTGTACTATGGGAGACCAGATATAGTGAATGCACGGTCCTGGGTTTAGTAACACTTGAAGTTGAGATTCTTTTGTTGTAGTTAATGTAATCATGTGCATGTTTTCTTCTTAAATGTGCCTGTTGGCTTGCTAGTTTTGCATGAACTATGCATGCCTTTTTAAAAAGACTAAATAAATCTGAAATATTAAGCGTTTCTGTTGACACATATATTTAGGAGGCCTCATTCGCACCATATGTGCAGAAAAACTGATGGAAATTGACTCGCAGATTTCATTTTGATAGACATCAGTTTACATTTGTTTTCATGCGCGCTTCAATTAGTTTCATACATGTTGTAGATTCCTCAGAAGAAAAAATAAGCACGCAATACTAGTGTTGTGGTGTGAACAGGGCACATAAAGAACAATTACATTTTGTTGTGCTCTTGCAAAACTCGTGCAGAAAAACTGACGTTTCTGCACCATGGTGTGAGCGAGCCCTTATATCTGTATGCACATATCCAGGGCCTGTTCATAACGGTTATTTTACCCTGTATTTTTGTTACTGTGGGAAGTTGTGCACCATCTTTGGTTCCCCATTGAGTAGTCATAGATGAGTGCTACCTATCCAGCCTAGTAGGTGCACACCATACGCGATGTACAGTCAGGTCCAGATATTGGGGACATCGAACAAAACATTTTTGGCTCTATACACCGCCACAATGGACAACAAGATGTGCTTTAACTGCAGACTGTCAGCTTTAATTTGAGGGTATTTACATCCAAATCAGGTGAACGGTGTAGGAATTACAACAGTTTGCATATGTGCCTCCCACTTGTTAAGGGACCAAAAGTAATGGGACAATTGGCTTCTCAGCTGTTCCATGGCCAGGTGTGTGTTATTCCTCATTATCCCAATTACAATGAGCAGATAAAAGGTCCAGAGTTCATTTCAAGTGTGCTATTTGCATTTGGAATCTGTTGCTGTCTACTCTCAAGATGAGATCCAAAGAGCTGTCACTATCAGTGAAGCAAGCCATCATTAGGCTGAAAAAACAAAACAAACCCATCAAAGAGATAGCAAAAACATTAGGCGTGGCCAAAACAACTCTTTGGAACATTCTTAAAAAGAATGAACGCATCGGTGAGCTCAGCAACACCAAAAGACCCGGAAGACCACGGAAAACAACTGTGGTAGATGACCGAAGAATTCTTTCCCTGGTGAAGAAAACACCCTTCACAACAGTTGGCCAGATCAAGAACACTCTCCAGGAGGTAGGTGTATGTGTGTCAAAGTCAACAATCAAGAGAAGACTTCACCAGAGTGAATACAGAGGGTTCACCACAAGATGGAAACCATTGGTGAGCCTCAAAAACAGGAAGGCCAGATTAGAGTTTGCCAAACGACATCTCAAAAAGTCTTCACAGTTCTGGAACAACATCCTATGGACAGATGAGACCAAGATCAACTTGTACCAGAGTGATGGGAAGAGAAGAGTATGGAGAAGGAAAGGAACTGCTCATGATCCTAAGCATACCACCTCATCAGTGAAGCATGGTGGTGGTAGTGTCATGGCGTGGGCATGTATGGCTGCCAATGGAACTGGTTCTCTTGTATTTATTGATGATGTGACTGCTGACAAAAGCAGCAGGATGAATTCTGAAGTGTTTCGGGCAATATTATCTGCTCATATTCAGCCAAATGCTTCAGAACTCATTGGACGCCGCTTCACAGTGCAGATGGACAATGACCCAAAGCAGACTGCAAAAGCAACCAAAGAGTTTTTTAAGGGAAAGAAGTGGAATGTTATGTAATGGCCAAGTCAATCGCCTGACCTGAATCCGATTGAGCATGCATTTCACTTGCTGAAGACAAAACTGAAGGGAAAATGCCCCAAAAACAAGCAGGAACTGAAGACAGTTGCAGTAGAGGCCTGGCAGAGCATCACCAGGGACGAAACCCAGCGTCTGGTGATGTCTATGCGTTCCACACTTCAGGCTGTAATTGACTGCAAAGGATTTGCAACCAAGTATTAAAAAGTGAAAGTTTGATTTATGATTATTATTCTGTCCCATTACTTTTGGTCCCTTAAAAAGTGGGAGGCACATATGCAAACTGTTGTAATTCCTACACCGTTCACCTGATTTGGATGTAAATACCCTCAAATTAAAGCTGACAGTCTGCAGTTAAAGCACATCTTGTTCGTTTCATTTCAAATCCATTGTGGTGGTGTATAGAGCCAAAAATGTTAGAATTGTGTTGATGTCCCAATATTTATGGACCTGACTGTATGAGCCAAAATGGTGCCCACTTCTTGGAGGAGAGGTAGATGTAGGCATTGGCAGAGGGATCCTTTTGATATGAGAATTAATATATTTGCACATTTCACTCTTGGACGTTATTTGGTATACATGTACTGTACTTGACCTGAGAAAAAAAAAATCTGATTTTCTTGCAGTGAGCTTGTGCCCTGAATATACTCATTAAAGTATTTACAGATTCTGAACAATTAGAATCACTTTCAAACAAGCTTTTGTTAGCTTTTTATAGCTGTAGGCACTCTGGGGAAATTCATCTTCAACGTTCATAACTGAGGAACTGAAATCTGAGCACCTTTCTTTCTTTCTTTTTTTCTTTCTATTCTTATTGTACCAGAATTTTGACAGGCTGACAGTCCTCTAATGCAAACACAAAAAAGTTCTCTGCTTTGAAGTCAGACTTTAGAGTCTTTGTTGTCGTCTTTTAGAATTAATTATTTTACAGTACAAGCACCTAGAGAGGCCTGTGCTACTGATTATATATCATTGATAGACGCTTTTTGTTTAGTGTTGTTAGTCGCTAGGACACAGGTGGCTTCTGAAGCCTAGCATCCTTGGTTGCTAGCATTCCATTGGAGGTCAACATGTAAACCTCAATAGTGCGTAATCAATGGCGCATGTGCTGCTGATTACAGATTGTTGTTCTGTACATGTTGACCTTGACAGCTGTGGTGGCCAGCAGTGTGCATTTGCGCTGTATACTGAATATATGTAAATATTCGCACAAGTGTTTTACGTGTGCACAGTGTAAAATACATTTCGGAAGCTTATCCTTGGATGCAGATTTTTCCATTTTTGTTTTAAGCAGTTTTACACAGCAAAACAATACAGACCAGTGCACATGGACCCATGGGTTACAATACTGCTATGTTGGATCCATATAACTTATGGATCTTAAATGTATTGTACACCTGTGTGCAGTAAGCGAGTTCAGCACAGGAGAGGATCCTACATGATTGAAGGCAATGCTAGGGTTCAGCTTTAAGAAGTTCATTGTCGTCAGTGCACTTCTGATGACAATGGTACTAATGTTTGTGCATCAGCATTTCCAGACCAGGGGTGGACTGACCATTTGAAAACTCGGGCACCGCCCGAGGGCCTGGGGTCAGTAGGGGGCCCCATGAGATGCCCCTGGTATCTTTATCATAGGCTTTTTTGAGTTTGGGCAAGAAAACGGGCCCCAATGAGTTGTCAGTCCGCCTCTGGTGGGGCACTGTACCTTCTTCTGCCAATCCCCCAATGATGTGCCACTACCTCCTTCCACCAACCCCCTTAATGATGGCGTATTATACCTCCTCCTTCCAACCCCCCCAGTGATGGGGCACTATATCTCCTCTTGTTGACACCCAGTGATGGGGCAATGTAGCCCCCCCCCCAGTCCGCCCCTGTTCCAGACATAATTTCAGGTGTTTGTGTTGTGCCTATTTGCGTGTACAATACATTCCTAGGCAAAATCCATTAATTCTTATCCTCATATGCATGCATTTGCTTGTACTGGCACAACATACTGACTGGAAACACAGATTTTTCCTTGTGTTTTTTTTTTTTTTCCAAGTCAAGAATATGCAGTGCTTGTTTACATGCCTGTGTGGACAGGCACATTGTAAACAATGGACTGCATTTTAGATCACTAAAAATAAAAACGCTGCACTGAGATTTTTCAAGCCGCAGTGTGCGAGAGGCCTAAGGAGGCTTCTGCTTGTCTTTATGCTTGACAAAAGGTTGCAATGTGAGCAGATAGACTGTGTAATACAACTATGTTTTTCATGTATCCTCACTGTTCAGCAAAAAAATGGAGCAGGTTAATAAATCCTGTTAATCTTTTTAAGTGTTGTATTATTTTATGTTTTTAAAATAAATTTGTAAATGTTTAAGATTATTTATGTAAGTAGATTAAGCCTCCATGCTGTTTAATGGCTGTACATTTTTGAATTATAAAATAGTTCTTTTAGCTGTGTGCCAAGATAGTATATGTATATTAAAAAAAACTGCTGGCGCACAGCTACTTTTTTTTTTTTTTGCTTGGATTTACCTAAGGCCGCATTTACACTTTAGCTGAGTATCTTTGCAACACTTGTAAAGGAACTCTCCTATGTATCGAGTGACAAGTTTAAGATGACACTAAGCTCAGGTGTCAACAAGCACTTTGGAATATGATGAAGATGCTAGTGTGTGGAGCAATGAAGCACTTCTGGGGAATCTTAAAATTGCACTACTGTAATCGGGGGTCAGAAGGGCACTGCAGGTCCTTCTGTTAGTTGGGTGTGGGGGTGTTTTTTTTTTTTTTTTTTTTTTTTTTTTTCATGTTTTTTTAAGGACCTCATAATGTATATTGGTGCTTGGGTACATTGCAGGTGCTTCTCCGACCTGATAACTGTTACTGTTTTTGCAGTGCAGGCCAAAATATTTTATTCCAGAGGACCTTTTCCAGGCTTTCCCTGTCTTGATTAAGACTTTAATTTTGTAACAGTAATCCTGCTAATGTCCCAGCTGGTTTTGTGTTCATAAGGTGTCCATAGGTTTCTTTCTGTTAAGCCATGTCCCTCAGTGGGCTCCAAGAAATAGATTTTACGAGTACAAAAATCCTACAATTTTTTTTTTCTTTTTAAGTTTTGAATCGACATTTTGTGATCCTGTAATAATGTTTTCCTGGGTGCAGTCCAAGACAGAAGCTATTTTT